ACATATACATATCCCTTCTCTGTGAGCTAAGCCCTTGTAGATCTTTTGCGTTAGATAAGCGGCTGCCGTAAACCATCAGAACACGGGAAGGACTTGAAGAGAGGGAGGTGTGAGTCTCTGTAGTTGCCGCTAGCTCCTAGAGGCGGGCGTTCAGTGAACAGGAGGGAAAAGAAATATTTTAAGCTTGTTAATTAGTTTCAGGACTATGCTGGTACACTTCTAAAACTTGACATGCCTCTGTGGGACGAATAACAAAACTTCCTACACACGAGGGTGTTTTGGTTAACATTCACTCGGCAGAATGGCAGTCTCTCGTGTGGCACATTGAGGGGCAGTTGGCACGCATGTAATATTTTCATCCTTTTTCTGCGATATTAGGTCGCAAATTTGTAGAAATTTGGGTGCCGAATACTAGGCATCCGCCATTACTTTTCCAATAAAACCATCGCGTTATCAATTATAGATCTGAGCGTAATTTTAGGGGACGAGGGAAGCATTTGACCCGATTCTCGTCTGCTCTTAAGTTGGTGGAGATTTGCCTACTTAGAGGCGACAGTCGCGGGTATATGAAGGGCTTACTAACTGAAATACTGATCTCTTAACTCGGAAGTATTTTTTCAACGATTTAAGACCCTCAGTCTTCCCACTGTGATATGACAGATTAGGCATGTCATCGTAAGCGATGCTGGGGACACGAAAACAGGAAACGCCTGCAATACGGACGGCTTTGTGTCAGCTTCCTGTGAAACGAGGGTTAGGTTTAAGATTAGGATAAGGATCAAAGGTTAGATTTAAAGTTGACGGTAACGTAAGTCAGGATCAAGTTTAGGGTTAAGGTAGAGGCCAGTGTTAACTACAGAACTAAAGTTTAGGATAGGGTTAGGGTCAAGACCAGGGCAGCGGTTTAGTTTTACAGTAGGGTCATTGTTGGGACTTAGGACGCGGGAATATTTTGCCCTTTTTGGAATTGTGCGTAGGTCCACCTTTATTGCTTGGGTGGGGCGTTCCTATTCCTAGTTAAGGGACCATATAAGTCAGTCCTACTGCCGCTGCGGCGTATTTTGGGCCCAGATAATGTCTGAAACTGGCACCGCTATCCAGGCAGGAGGCGCAATAGCAGTTTTAATGAACACATCTCAACTGATGCAGACGAGAAACCACGTCATGCGGATGACAGGATCACTACTCTAAGAAATGCTATGTACGTGTTACTGAAATAAGCCCCTATGTCACCCTGTTCGGAATAAAGGATTTCCAGCGTCCGACCAGGATCAGAATGAGGCACTTTTGATAAGATGCTGCCTTCTATGGGGAGAAATGCAAATTCTAGGATGACTGAGCCAAATGGTGTGCACCGAAGCCCTTCACAGTCATCGAGGACTCAGGAAAGGTCAATCAGAGCAAAAACCCAGGAGACGTCGTAGTTAAGTCTGCGTTTGCGCGTACATTCGTATGACCCTGGCTGTTGACAAACCGACGCGGATACGCGGGATGCACGCATTTCACAGGTGGGTAATGCCAAGCGACGGGTCATACCGGGCCCGTTGTCCCGTCGGCTGCCAAATATAGTAGGTATTCTTTGTCTGGCACAGATGCTTTGGGGTCCTTCGCCCGATCCTTACCGAGAGAGCTCCAAGGCACAAGGGGACGAGTGATTTCTGTAAAACGATTGGTGAGCGTCCACGTAGAGGCCATGACAGAGACGATGAGAAAATTAGCATAGCCTCCGACCTCCCGAATCCAAGTCGGGTGATCCAGCCACTGAGCCTTAAGGGGCGCGCTTGCAGACTGTGCGAATTAACGGCATTCCCATAGCACTGACCGGCAAACTAGTAAATGCAAATTGCATTACTCCGTGCTTTTTGGTTCTTTTCCGTCATAACGATTTTTTTTGCCAGATCTGAGATTCGAAGTCCATGTCTCGGAATCAAAATTTTACACCATGGAAGAACCGGTCAGTGGACGGCAATGTCTTGCTCAATCACGCATACATCTGAGTTCCAGATATAGACGACCTACTCCTTCAGGCAGAAACAGGTGGATTCAGAAGTATTCCAAGGCCTGCCGTAGAGGGCCCTTGGTTTGACGGAGAAGATCGAGTGCTCTCGTGGTATGATGAAAAAAGTTTTTGTAAGTCACAAAGACAGCTCAGAACAATGACAGGTCAACCGTCGCTGTCAACCACATGCTCCACAGGTAAATGAAAGCAGGGACGGTGGCTTGCACGTGAATTAGTGCAAAGCGATAGTGGACTTGCGATGGATTTACCGCACACTCTACTTCTCCCCCGCCCCATCTGGGCCTGGTGTCAGGACAGAGTCAAGAAGACCGGAGACGCGAAAGGACACAGGTGATTAGCACACCCAGGAGTACTACCACATCCCTTGGTCCACAAGGGATACTGACTAGGATTTCACACAAGTGGAGAGAGGAGCAGCTCGGAGCCCACTTACCGACGTATCTAATTAAGCAATTACAGGCGGATTCAGAAGTCCTACGAAGCCTGCAATAGGAGACCCTCGGTGATATACACAACGCTTGACGGAGAAGATCGAATGCTCTCGTGGCATAATGAAAAAAGTCATTCTAGGTCACAAAGACAACACAGGACAAAACTGAATGTAGGTAACACATGATACGGTAGATGTGCTAACTCATGAAATGTCAACCAAAATTTCGAAATGCGTTCTCGTTTCGAAAAGATAAATTAAGTAGTGTTGTAAAACTAATCATGATGCAGCATAAATCTGTAATGATCCAGTTACCTCAGGGTGTCGGCTTTCGAAAGAACTTATTTTCAGCTGCATGCAAGATTTATGCTCTGCAAAAATGACTACTTAAGTAGCATGCAATTTTCTCATTGAGTTTCGATGCGCTTAAAAATTCAATTATATTTCATGGAAAACATGCATAAAAATATTAATTCTTTTACTTATTCGGTAGAAAATCACGTCTTCTTCCAATTTTATACTCAAAAGAAGAGTATAATTCGGTTTTAAAAAACTTTTCTAATTCCCGAATTATTTTGAACCCGACCTGCTGTTACACTTGCATTCAGGGTTTTAAAACTACAAGCTGTATATTTTCCGTGTACGGAAAACCATGCATTTCTCTACGGTGTTAAGAGGAGACCGTATGAGTATCATAAAATTAAGCAGTGGATTTGAGCAATATTCTTAACTTTACAAGCCACATTCGTCAATGCAGATACATGACGTTTCATGAACGGCCATTTAACGGTATTAAAAAATCTCACAATTAGAAACTTTTTTAAAACCGAATTATAATCTTCTTTTGAGTATGAAATTGGAAGAAGACGTGATTTTCTACCGAATAAGTAAAAGCAAGAATATTTTCATGCGTGTTTTCCGTGAAATATAATTGAGTTTTTAAGGGCATCGAAAATCAATGAGAAAATTGTATGCTACTTAAGTAGTCATTTTTGCAGGGTATAGATCTTTCATGCAGCCGAAAATAAGTTTTTTCGAAAGCCGACACCCTGAGGTAACTGGATCATTATAGATTTATGGTGCATCATGATTAGTTTTACAACACTACCTAATTAATTTTTTCGAAACGAGAACGCATTTCGAAATTTTGGTTGACATTTCATGAGTTAGCACATCTACTGTGGCTGACAAAGCCGATCCCACTCCATATCGCTGCTTGTGTAGAGTTAATGAGGTCGCACGAGGCAAAAAGATGGCTCTGTGTACGAAAAATGTCCTTTATGCGTCGCTCACAAGTCCACTCGACAATGGATGGACATCGGGCAAGCCGATCTGACAGAGCCCACGAGGACCCCCAAAAGTCGCACTGCATGTGTGGTGGTGCGGGAATTTCACTAATCGTCTGAGTCATGATCGCTGATTTGCATTGGTTGTGATCAAGCCAACTTGAAGGAGGACGTAGCAGTGGGCAGAGTGAAATGTATGTTCTGCGCGACAACGCCGGTCATCATACTGGGAAGGTGGATTACGCTTTATGGTCGTCATATTCTCCAGACGCCACTCCTTCATAGTACTCTTAGTTGCGTCCTCTTCCTATGAACTTAGTTGAGAAGACTTTGGAAGACGAGAATCACCCCCAAAGTATACTCCATCAAAGGTGCTAATGAGACATGTTCAGGCGCTGGATTGGGAGTATGTTCTATTCTTGTCAGTTGTCTGCGTTGCAACTCCAAGTGAATGGGAAGGGTTTTATAATAAGCAAAAACTGTATCAGTTAAATTCAGCCAGAATATAAACTCTTGAGGGTTGGCTGTCATAGGCATATTCTTCTTATAAACCGGCCCTTATTTAACCTGCGTTCTTAGGCTCTCGTACTTCGCTGATATTGCAAGAAGACACAGTAATATTTTTAATATCTTACTTTGCAGAGGTTCCGATTTTGTGTGGAAGATGCCGCCTCTAACTGATCCTATGTTTTTACCCACGGCAGTTAGCGTGCGTATCTTTGGCCATAAGATGTTTTTGCCTATGAACTTTCTTCTTAAGCAAACTGTAGGTTAGGATTGTGCCACCAAATGGAAGGCACCGAATCCGCGGTACTGAGACCTCTTCTACTACTTGTGATAAGATGACAAACAATTTTGAAATCATATTTTACAACTCAGTCCTCAGACGTTTCTACCAGAAACCTTATGTACTATGTACGACACATGATTTGCCCAAATCTCTCGGTTTTTACCCAAAAGCCTAATGGGAAGCACGTGAAATTGTTTTTTCTGGTATGATTTAGGACCCAACGCCCGTTGCGCTTCAAACCACACAGGATATTGACATAGAGTGCGCGAATTCTCCTCTTCTGTAGGGCTGACCCATGAGGGTGGTGAACCACCGATTTGAAATTTGAGCGGACACGTGGTTAAACGGGAGTATAAACACATTCCTGGCTGTTTTGTAGACGTTGATTGAGTAGCCTGGGGAGGGGAAGGCGCATGCTTACGGGGGCCAGCCACCTGTAAATGTGACTATTTCTACGACGGAAGACACCCGAACATGTCACTGCGTCGCTATGAGGGTTCTAAATTGATTCCCAAGGCGCAGTGGGACGAGTGCGTCCATAGCCTGGTCAGTAAACACCCTTTTCCTCCATAGTTAGTACTTCCGAGCACAACCCACAGGACGACGTGCCCACTGCTCAATGGCAAGGCTTTAAACGAATTCAACATCGAATCCCAGATTGCCGACCGGCTGCGGATGGCCAACAAACCCGAAACGATCATTCCAGTCACCCTAGTTCTTGCTGGTACTCCCCCCGCATATATGGCCTTGAACATCATTAGAATGGCCGATTTTGTTGGCGCATCGCAGCTTCGGACAGCATATATTGAAGAAACAGCGTAGAATTTTACCTTCATGACGGCGCGCCTTTGCGAAAAACCTAAAATCTTGGTCAAATTATAGAAAAACAACTTGTTTTACAATAACTAGAACATTAACCGAACCTTTCTTAAAGTAGAAGAATGGGTTGTGTGACTCGTTGATCTCCGGTGGCAAATATTCCAAACTCCTTGCGCAATTTTTAATTTCGACACACTGTTATTTGGGCTGATCTTCCCTAAAATGATTCACAAAAAGCCTACCTTGTAGATTGTTGTAAGGAATACCATCGCCTTGGGACTTTTTACTTCAAAAAGGGACTATTTTATGCGAACTCACTTCGGACTTAGAGGCTTTAAAATATTTCTACTTGAAAAAATGCAATCTGGTAGTTGTTAAAATTTGAAGGCCCAACCAGCAGTTGGAAAAACCCCAAGCATGCAAAGTCCATGTCGCTCAAAAAAGAGAATAATTATTAAACTCCTCGACATCAAACACTCCAAAACTTTTAGTCAGGACGCAATTTCCCATAAGAAAGCTAAAAGCAATGTCTTTTTTGTCTTTTCCTTCCAGGAAAATGAGCGGCCTGGCATAAACGTTGGTGACCGATCAAGAAGGCTAATGAAATAGTAACCACCCCGTAGGCGCAACCAGCATCGGTCGCTGGGAAGGTTCCCGAGCAGAAGCCATCATGTGTAAATTAACTTGACAATATACTGTTCGAATACTAGTCTTGCGTCCACTCTTAAGTTTTTTTTTTGGCACTGAAACTTTAAGCAAGGAGCTAGGCTACTGCTGTATTAATTTCTGCACGTAAATATGTGCGGACGTTGACGAAAAAAGGCGAGATGTTTGTCAAAGTTGGGGTTTGTTTACTTCAGGTGCGGTTAGATAACCACATCTGACCATTTTTAGTGTTTCAAGTATTGAGTTCGCATTTCCTCGAATCTGCTACGTTATCTGGTTTTACCACATCAAGTACGGATCCGGCAACTAGCGAAGTAAAGTTAATCGATCTATGAAGTTGAGCCACGGTCTCCTTTTATGGTGGTTAGTTCTGCAAAAACCTGACCAAGGTTGTCCTCGCCTTTCTTTCTCCTCAAGCAGCCATGAACCCAACGGAATTTCACGAGTTAGTTGATTTATGTCTGTGAGAAGTACATAATGCTTTACCAAAATTTGGAGAAACTGTGCGCATACCCACTTCTGGTGGTAGATTGCAGCTTTTAGTTCAATAGTGATCCCAAAAAAGCTCTCTTTCTTGGGGCGCTGCATATTTGCTGTTCCGACCCGCAAAGAGAGTCACCTAATAATGAGCCCTCGTCGAGGAGGTTAAGTCATACAGCCAGCATATATCACAGCTTTTTCTGGCTTTATGGTATTACCGACAAAGACAAGGGAGATTGGAATGGCCATTTTTGGCTTATTAGCCGTCGTCAGCCAGTCGTACCCAACCCCGAAGTGTGGCACACCCGAGGCTCGAACTCGCGACCAGTTAGTTAGAAGTCCACGCCTCTACCCACCGGGCCACGAGCCCGTTGTCCTGTCGGTTTTCGATCGGGAATATACAATGGTAGGGGGCTCTCACCGATCGTTCTTACGGAACTCACTCGTTCCGTTGTGTCATAAGGACACTCTCTCTCGAGCCCAACCAGCTGTAAGGCACAACGGAAAGAGTGAGTTCCGCAAGAACGATCGGTGAGAGCCCCCTACCATTTTCTGGCTTTGCTCTGCACACACGATCTGAACTCGTAATGGGAATGTGTCTAGAAGCAGATATCTAAAAAGATTTTTTAGAGGGTAAAATACCAGCCCTCCAGTTTAAACAGCTAACGCCTTAAGAGTCGAACTAAACCAATTCCGGTGACCAAGCACCTTGATCCTAGGATGATTCGGTGGACGGTATACGCCTATTGCCTCCCCGTGTTATTCTGCCTTCAGATGACAAAAATACTGAGGCAGCATCAGGGGCTCTATCCTGCAATCTATCAGCTCAACAGGAGTCCAGATTCGAAGCCGTTTAGATACCACAGCACACGGTACCTCTCCTCTACCTCCTTACCCGGTCCCAAATTGATATTTTTCCCCGAAGCAACCTCGTGAGTCCGTAGCTTTCTGCGACAGTTACTCGAACGAGAGTCAGAAAAATCTGTCAGCCTCTTGCTGTACAATGCTTTAACTGCGGCACCATCAAAACCCAGTCACACACGAGGCAGCCGTTCGTGGACGCCTGTTAGAAGCTACCGAAGGTGGTTGCAGGCGAGAGGTTTCCGGTGCACATGAAATGGCAGTTGCGAGTGTTCTTCCACTGTTCCAGGAGGTGGACGCAGGAGCGGCCACCAGTGTGTGAATTTGTTTTTAATGAGGCAGACTGTCACCGCATCTACCTCACTCACACACCCAGGCTGTTTCAGTGGCAAGAGGAAGCTAGGACGACTGGAGATAGCCGGGGACTGAGTGGTTGACAATGCAGAACAGCCCTCCACGCGCACGCATCACGCGTCATCTGGTCCTTACTCCGAATCCAGCAGGACACACGCCAGGGGGTGGTCTCGAACCTCGCATAGGTGAGAATGCCGTAAATGCCATTGCAGTCTGGCCCTCAGTTCTGAGTGGAGGCGCAATTACCACGTCGGCTGGCAGCATTGCAATCTGCGACCCATAGCGTGTCCTCATAGACTCAGTGGCCTCAGACCGACTATATTATGGAATGCGTCAAATTTGCCGTGAGGACGGATTTTTATTGAAAGAAGACCTCTCTCTCTCTTACCCGCCGAGTTACGTTTGGCTTCAACTGAGATTGAACCTAATGACTGACAAGTTTATCTGTGCCACGTACGACGCGATTACATGTATGGGCTGGGAATACACACCAGGACGCGCAGACAGACCCGAAGACACGAATCCGGTAGACAAGAAGGTAATCTCTTATGTTCTATGTTCGCCAAATTACAACTCTCTTGTGGGCCTCACACTGCCATTGGTCGAGCCCTGAAGGCAGCAGCATCAGCGGCAAGTAACCTGCAGAACAGGAAAAGGCGGAGAAGGAGGGAACGGCGACCAGAACGTGATAATGCTGCTGAGAGTCGGTAAAACGCTGCCATGGTGCGGCCTTCTTTCGCCTCTGCTGCTGCTGCTGCTGCAGCGGCATCAGCCGACATCTGCCGGACCGGGGAGGGCGGGGGGGAAGGGGAGTTGAGCGAGGGCACAGAAGAGGTGTGATGGGAAGGCGGGGAGCGACCGCGGCGCGCAAAGCAGGAACTTACGTGATTTGTGCGTCCGTCCCCCACCCCCCCGCCCGCGTCCAACGCGCAGAGGCATGTCGGCGTAGTCATTTCAACTGATGTCGGCATCCTGACAGTTTCAAGGCGCAGAGGAAGTGGCTTTGGAGGGGTATTTATCAACGGTGACAGGGCGACCAGCGGGTGTGTGTGAGCGCACACGAGCGGGTGTTCTTTATTTGTTCCCTGCCAGCTCTCTCGTCTCGCTCTCTCTCTCTCGCTCTCCCTACCTCCCTTCGTTTCCCGACGCTCAAAGGCTAGACCGGCAGGGACGGAGGCTGCGCCGTGGTTATGGGCATTCCCGCCTCCCAAGCTTCTCAGGCCGCCCTGCTCTGTCGTTCGCACACGTTTGCAATTTCCTTTTATCGCCTTCTGGGTCTACGCGCGTCCCTACGGTCTGTTCACTTGCTGCTCATACTGCATTGCTTGCCCAAAGACATATTTCGACAGTCCCACCCCCCTATTTGTCATTCTTCTAAAAAATGCGCGTGAGTTCTCAAACCTCTCCTATGCTAGTGGTAGTAGTAGTAGTTCTCAAACCTCTAGTGGTAGTAGTAGAAGTAGTAGTTCTCAGACCTCTAGTGTTCGTAGAAGTAGTGGTAGTATTAGTTTAGTAGCGGTAGTAGCAGTAGTAGTTGTTGTTGTTGCTGTTGTAGTAGATGCAGTATTAATAGTAGTTCTCAAACCTATAGTAGTAGTGGTAGTAGTAGTAGTAGTAATAGTAGTGGTGGTATTAGTAGTAGAATTAATAGTAGCAGTAGTAGTTCTCAAACCTCCAGTGGTAGTAGTAGTAGTAGTAGTAGTAGTAGCAGTAGTAATAGTAGCAGTAGTACTGCGTTGCTTGCCCAAATACATATTTCGACAGTCCCACCCCGAGTATTTGTCATTATTCAAAAAATGCAGATGGGTTCTCAACCCTCTCCCATGCTAGTGGCAGTAGTAGTTCTCAAACTCTAGTGGTCGTAGTAGAAGTAGTGGTAGTATTAGTGGTTGTAGCGGTGGCAGTGGTATTAGTAGTAGTAGTAGTTCTCAAACCTCTAGTCGTAATAGTAGTAGTAGTAGTAGTAGTAGTAGTAGTAGTGTTAGTGGTAGTAACGGTGGTAGTGGTATTAGTAGTAGTAGTTGTAGTAGTAGTAAGAGCAGTAGTAGTAGTTCTCAAACCTCTAGTGGTAGTAGTAATAGTAGTAGTAATATTAGTGGCAGTAGTGGTGGTAGTAGTAGAATTAGTAGTAGTAGTAGTTCTCAAACCCCTAGTGGTAGTAGTAGTAGTGGTAGTATTAGTGGTAGTAGCGGTGGTAGCGGTATTAGTAGTAGTGGTAGTGGTAGTAAGAGCAGCAGTAGTAGTAGTAGTTATCAAACCTCTAGTGGTAGTAGTAGTAATATTAGTGGTAGTGGTGGTAGTAGTAGAATTAGTAGTAGCAGTAGTATTTCTCAAACCCCTAGTGGTAGTAGTAGTAGTAGACATGCGGGTTTTAATTCCCTTGAAAGCGAGCAGTACTGTGATAAGAACTGGGGACACTTATATGGCTGCTTTCGCTTAATTGCTGTTATCAGGCCAGGGGACCTGAGTTCTGAAGTTGAGTTCAACCGGTCACAGAGTTTAATCACTTAATACTTAAACTCGGCGCTCACCCTCCGTCCGGAACTGTCGAAATATTCGATACCAAACAGCAACATCCTTCGTCAGATTCTAAAAATGGCATTATTTAAAAATAAAATCTGAATCCAGCTGTTTTTAATGTAATTAAACTGATCATCAAATACCGGACGATTGCATAACACTCTAACAAATACGTCCTAGTGTCAGCTCCAGAGATGTCCTGAACATGAGTGTCAATTAGTCATCCCTAACGCCCGTAAATGGACCTGGGAAGACCTATCGTAATGTTGTACGGCTTCTCATTGAAAGCCAGCTGTTGAATGAAAAGCAGCAGCAGCAGCAGCAGCAGCAGCAGCAGCAGCAGCAGCAGCAGCAGCAGCAGCAGCAGCAGCAGCAGCAGCAGCAGCAGCAGCAGCAGCAGCAGCAGCAGCAGCAGCAGCAGCAGCAGCAGCAGCAGCAGCAGCAGCAGCAGAAGCAGCAGCAACAGCAGCAGCAGCCGCAGCCGCAGCAGCAGCAGCAGTAGCAGCAGCAGCACAATATAGAGTTGAAAACCTAGTCAGTAAAAAGAACAACGGTTCACCCATCCTCACTGGTCTGTTTTGTATAAAATTCAACTCCCATGTGGCTCGCCATGCTTTTATTCGCAGGTGACAGAGTGGGGACCCATGACACGCCTTGGATCCCACGGACTCCACGGAACCTGGCTGGGACTGACGTGCGTCTTTGTACGCCGGACACAGTTTTGAGCCTTCCTCATGTTTGCTAGACAAAAAACTGAACAGTTTTGATTGTCTCTTACAACGTGACCGACTACACGGACTTGGGCATGAACCGTAGAGGACGGTGTTCTTTGATCAGTTAAACCAATGCGATGGAGTATTACCACCAAGACCGTTCAGAGCTTGAAAATGAGGGCGAGACGGGGAAGTTTCCCAGATCAAATTACCCAGTACGTATCTGTCCCTTGCCCCAAAAATAGCATTTTGGCATTACAAACGGTTCTACCTCTGGAGACCGTATAAACTCCTTGACGCCTTACTTCCGACACATTCACAGAACTTTTCAAGCAACTTTTTAGGGAAATCCTTTATTCGTCGAGTGTTTGTGGACTCCCTTAACTGTAATCTTCTTAGAAGCCTCATCAGGCCTATGACACATGCTCCATGCGGTCTCGGCGATGAAGCAATTCTGTGTCATGCCCGCAGGACTTGTTTGGTCTTTCTTACAGCGGCTTCAGAGTCGTTCTTGTGAGCTGCCAGCAAACACGATATTCCCTTTGAACCTCCAACTGAACAGGCCTCACGATCGAAGCCTACGTTGATTAGCACGCGTACGGTACGTGTAGGGGTGAGGAGAGAAGCCGGTAAGATGTGGTTTGGTAGCCCCGCCTGATGGACACAATACTGTTGAGGTTGGGGTTAAGGGTTAGGGTTAGGGGTTGGGGTTATGTTTAGGAGTAAGGGTTAGGGTTTAGGGTTTAGGAATAGGGGTTAGGGTTAGTAGTTAGAGCAACTATTTCTCAACCACTCAAAGTACAACCGCTCATTCCCAATAGTTTTTCTTTCGCATACAGCTACTTGACTTCGTCGCCAGTGTGTTCCCCGGCCCCACGTGCAAAATTCCCTATTACCGCCGGTCCCTTGTTAGAGGTGACTGGGGTTTGTTTACTTTAAGTGGGGCTACATAACCACATCCAACCGAGATTGCCTGACCAATAGCCAAATCTAGGCTCATTTCCAGTTGCTTTGGTTCCGTGAAGAGGGTGGGCCTGGAAAGAAGGAGTGTGTCCTCCTGGCCGGAGACATTCTCGGGCTCAAATGACGACTGCCTTCCCTCGTCCGATAGCGGTGACCGGCGTCGAGGGCACCAGTCATCACGTTGACTCTCTGTGAGATGACACTTTGACCTTGACATGTGTAGACGTCCACCGCTGTCCCGAAAAATGCTCCAGGAGTGTCCACTGGCGCGGCATCTATCACACCGCCTCATCACTCATCAGCCTTGCTCTAATAGCAAGACAGTGCCAAGACGGCCGGAATATCCAGCCCGTGCCACGCACAACCTAGCCCGCACTACCTGTACCGTGCCTCTTTAAGGGCGACTTATGAAAGTGCCATCGGAGGTACTTTGAAAAGGAACCATTGCGGCGTGACTCTCAGTCCTCTAGTTCTTCCACTATAATCAAAACAAGGAGGGCCAAGTTACCCGTTCAGTCTTCGACACCATGACCCTTAGGGCGTCGTGAAATATTTAATCATGTCAGGTTTCCGTCCCTAAAACGAGCACACGGTAGATACCCTGGACAAACACAGGGTTACATCGGATCCTGTCAGGCGTTATCGGAAATGCGCACCCATAACACATGCCAGTATTTGGAGTGCGGTGGCAAGCCCGGTTGCAGGCTCACGTCACGCCAATTGGGATGCCTGCCGCATTCCACATTCTCACTGTTGCTGAAAATCCTGGACAAGTATTTGTTGTGGACCAGGAAGTGTAGTAGTATGCCTAGGTGTGTGTTTTCGCTGTGCTAACCCCCTGCGGTCCCTCCCACCTCCGGTCTCCTTGACTTGGTCACGACACCGGATCCAGCTGAGGGAAGGGGAGGTGCAGTAGATGCTGCGCAAGTTTACTGCCGCTATTAACTAATTCACACGCAAGTCACAGTGTTTCCTCTCTCTCTCTCTATCTCTCTCTCTCTCCCTATATATATACATACTGTGGAGCACACGGTGGACATAACCGAAATTGACGGTCAAAATGTCGCGTTGTGAAATAGGATAAAGCGGAAATGTAAGTGATTAATGACCTCAGCAGTTCCTGCCGGTGGAGGCCCGCTAGTCAGCTTACACAAGTCAGACTGCAGGTCATTTCCTAGAGGAGGGCTCACGCCACTGTAAGTATGCACCGAATAGTGAACGGACAATGCAGATCTGTTAATAACGGTCTTTTTAAAGTGATTAAGACGTACACTTAAACCGAAATACCCTCACATAGGCAGAATAAACAATTAGCTGGTGCTTTTGACTGATTCGAATAACTAGTTCGACCCACTTTTAAAAAACTCGGTGGTTCCGTTGGGACTTGAACCCATGGAAAGGCTTGAGTACGTCGGATAACCGGATCTTAATGCGACTAAGCTCAGAGATCCCGGTCGGCGCCCCGTAATAGCTATTCTTATCTGTCCGACATGTGCGTGTTCTTTGAGTGCGGACAGATAGCCAAACTCTCTGCAAAGCCGGACAAGTGCACAACTGTTCCAGCTAGCATTTTTGATTTATCATGATGTAGTATAGTTGCGTAAACTCTGTTACCTGAACTCCTATTTATCTCTTTCAATTTATTTTCGGGACCCGCAAACGTTTTTTTACTATTGTCGAAATTTGGCGAAGATCAGGCGCCGCTCCGTCCGGTGTACTCATCGAAGTGCGTTTTATAGGTTTCCTTGGTACGGCCGACCTGTAAAGTGAGTTCACATGTGTAGGCATTGGTCGATAACCTCTCGCATGCCCACCAGCCTTTCGGATTTTAGGGCTGCTACTTGTCATCGTGATGGCTGTGGCACTCGTACCTCTCCAGGTCTGACCTCTACGATGAGTGACTTCTTGATTTCGATGGAGCTGTCGACCAACCTATCGGCTTACCCTGAAGACCTGGCATCCGGTTGCAGAATCAGATAATTATCATGCTGACCACCATTCATGCCCCCCTCCCCCTGCTCTGAGTCATGATTGGGACTAGACAGGGATCAGAAAATGCCAGCCATCATGACGGCCCTCAACGGTTCGACATCCAGAGCTGATGTCGGTGGAGGAGGGCAGGGAGATATTAATTACCGCGCAGACAGTGCTGACACAAGCCTGGGTCTGAACGACCGGACCACTGTTGTCAGGGTTTTAGAAGTTGTATCACAACTGCTCCGCCCGAGCGTAACCAGGTTTAGAAGAAGACGGTGGAGAAATGTTGACAGGCTGAAAATGACCAGTGACTTTGTCGGTCTGTCGATTTCTGGCTCATCAGCCGTCCTCAGTTAGCCTTACCTTTGTTGATACTCCTTCCAACATATATTGATGGTCGCTGTAGAACTGTCTGCGAGGGCTCTAGGGCGAGTTTCGAGGCTTCAGAGGAGGAACATGTCTCGGAGCCTGATTGACGAGTTTGCTTCCACCATAAGGAATAGTCATTCTCGGCTGTCCGACATGTGCGTGCTCTTCGAGTGCTGACAGAAAGCCAAACTATCTGCAAAACCGGACAAGTGCATAACTGTTCCAGCTAGCATTTTTGATGTAGCACGATGCAGTATAGTTGCGTAAACTCTGTTCCGTGAACTCGTATTTCTCGCTTTTAATTTATTTTCGGGACTTGCAAACAGTAATGCATACTTCACGGGATTGATGCGGAACAATTGGTATTTTTAGTAATTTTGTGGAAAATTACTTCATTAAATACGGTGCCAGAAAAAAATGGACAATCCCATGTTTTAAAAATCGGTTACCTGTAAAACTTTTGGGAAACTCGCATGGATGTCAATATAGCCGACCATCCTCCGGTTTGTAGATGATATCTGCAAAGAATGTAGCGCAAATCTCACGTATCGCACACTTCTATGGGCGCTGGGAAGTCTCCTCGTAAGATCCTATGGAGTTATGTGAATTCGCTTCAGGTAAAACTTAGAACGTGCTGTTTGGAGACTTCAAAATGAGCCATCACACAGATCGTGTTAATTCTTTTGAGAACAAAAATACCCTATTCCTCCAGGTACCAAACACGAGAATGGGGGTAATTCTAGCTTGATACACATAGAAAACGACTTTTGTGGGTGCATTTTGATTGTATTTTGCCAGATATTGAAAGTCAGTGGAGGATTGGAGAATATGCGTACTACTTAACTGGTTCATTTCTTCCATATGTCGGCTAAAAGACTGCGCGTTTAATAGTAAGAACGTACTTGCTTACTAGATTCTTAGACATTCTCGAACACCATTTTTATTTCAGACCCTATTTAAAAAGTTTGGCCAACATTTACTGGTTTCAGCGCATACGATTGATCTTAATAATAATTAGTAAAAACAGTCACAAAATTAAGTGTATAAAAATCATAGACTGGGAAATCGACGCTCTTACATAGAAAAAAATATGTCCACGAAAAGTGAACGTTCTTTGCACTATTAGCGAAACGCCGGATATGTCCGTAAAATAGGTTAGTTCTATTGGTCAAGCGAAAGTACTAACTAGGAACCCAGACACACTTTGAGTGTTGCCTTTCTGTGACTGCATGCCGCAATTGCGAGGAGAACGTCCCATCGTTCGTCACGCAGCGTCCTCCACAAGGATCCTCGTAAAACTGAAGTTAACAAACGATAGTTAGGTATTACTTAGAACTTATTAAAGGCGTTTGGAGTAGGGCCCGGACATTGAGTACATTGAGACAACTTTCGGTTACTTGAAAAATACGCCACATACTACTGGACTCCTAAATTTAGAACCTAAACGTTGTGCCGCTGGGTTTAATGGTACTACAGTAGA